GTAGCCTTCTATTGTTTCTGTTCTACTGATCTCACAGACACACACGGATACAGTATATGCATGCTTGGTCACACACATCAGAACAATAGGCTTGCACACAAAATGAAGACAATAATACAATGATGATATAAATCCGTACAGATAAACACACACACACACACACACACACACACACACACACACACACACACACACACACACCCACACTCACTCTGCAGTCTGTGATGTATCAAACCACACTCTGATGCACTCTGTGTGAGAAAGTGAACTAAAAATCTATAAAGTCCTTCGGTGACAACAATTATGTTTCTTAGTACAGCCCACTCTCACACACACAAACTGCATTGTACTGCAATAAAAAATGCCCTTGCAAAGGTTATTTTTTCTACCTCTGTAACACAAACGCCTGAATTGGCAGAAAAACGTATATATACTCTTATCATTTTCATTCACTATACAGACACACAAGCATGTATTGGTCATTAATACGTTTTGCAGAGAAAGAGCTTGGCTTTTCTCATGCTTATCTCTAAATCTAAAACTCTGTTGTTCACACATTTCATGCCGCGCTGGCACCAAAAGTGTGGACTGATCCAATTGTCTCGGTAAAACAAAGACAGGGAAGCGTGACTTTTTCACATCCTTAAACAATCACAGCAAACAAGAAGTTGAGTGCTAATGGTTGCCTCTTCGAACAGACACTTTTAGAGCAGCAAGCAGCAAGTAAAGCCAAAATGCTAAGGCTAAAGCCAGCACAGCAGTATATTATAATTATTTATGAAGATGAGTTGGAGGTCTGGCTGTCTGTGTAGGCCATACAGTTTCACATCAATAGGAGATTAAACAGGCTGCCAGACAAAGCACATTATCATTCAGATGCTGAAGTGAATTTTGAGATGACATGAATATCACAGTTTTTAAAAATGCTGTGGCAGTATGGCTCGATTGCTTTGCCAGTCACAAAATGTACTGCCCAACTGTTTGACTGTGTGAAATGCACTACAAACATTCACACCCTGCTTGGGTTGATTTGCAATAGACGTGATGATCCCCTGACTTTTCATCTAGCACCATCATCAAGTCCAATATCTTTGTTAATTGAGGTTCTTTAGATAAGCCCATAGTGTAACTGCACATATACTTTCATTTGCTATTTACATTTTCTCTGTTTTCTTTTTTAATTGTGCAATAAAACATACAAAACATCTAAATAGTTTAAGTTTCTCACTCCAAACTAAATGCTAAAAATGCTGGGAAGACCAAGATTTGTGGGACGTGCATATGATAATTATTGTATCTGATTTGGCCCTCAACAGTTGAGATCTGTGCCCAAATCACAAGATGTGCTGTGCAGGTATTTCTGCAGTATGAGGGTCCAAGATAAGAGAGGCTTCAAGACGAATGAAACATGGCTGCTTTGGTATTTAATCATGCTCGTGGTTAGCTACTTACCAAAGGCAATAAATGTTTTCAGCACTCCCGTCAGTTGTAATTGAATTCTCTTGACACATACGCTCTGGGGAGTTGAGATAGCATGCAATCAATACTTTATACCACTGCAGTTCTGGGCCAATAGTCTGCCAGGTCAGCTCTGCAGCTCTAATACATATCTGGATGAAGCCCAGTGGATTGGGAGGGGAAGATCTTCAGGGATTTTGTATCTCATTAATGGGATTTCTCATGTGAGTGGTGATGGGACGGTGACTCGCCTGTAATTTCATTCTTTTTAAGTAATTGGAGAATATAGCAGGAACTTGCTTCTGATTTGGAGCGCAAGGCTGTATTGCATACTCCTTTCCTTCTTAAAATTGGACGGATAGAAAAATGTTGGCCATTCAATGTATGGCCATCAGCCCTCTGGGAAATAGTTTGGTGAGACAAAACTTTGTGAAGAAAATTATCAACTGGGCATTTTATCTTCGCCCAAATGTTATCCATCAATGAGGAAGAAGGATCTTTCAGAAACTGGAAAATCAGTCTTGGCCCAGACAACAGATGTTTCTTCTTTTCAAGAATAATGTTTTGAAAAGTCAGTTTAAAGATCCTTACACACATAAGGACGATAGATGTCGATAGATGTCTAGCCGTCGATGAGCGTCCTGTTGCCCTACTCAGATTTGTGTGTCCCGCCCCGTCGTGTCTTTTCGGCCGTGCCGACACTTTCCGCCGGCTGTCGGTAAAAGGCCGTCGGCTAAAGATATCACTGATTGGCTGTTCAGCTTACCGAATCAGTGCATGAGAAGCGAAACGGAAGTGAGGGACCCAAACACACTATTAAGAAGGCAAATCTGAGATTTCAATTGAACTCCAGCTCTCGACACAGGTTCGGGAAAGCTCCATGAGCTTCTCGTTTTAGAGTGAAAATGGAACGCACAGGCTATTTGTTGTTTGTTTATATCACGCAGTCTGTTCTTCTTCTCTCGGTTATCACGCAGTCTGTTCTTCTTCTCTCGGTTATCACGCAGTCTGTCTTCCGGTTGTTGCCTCTTTTGAATGAAGAATACACACTACCGCCGCCTGCTGGTAAGGAGAGTTATTGCCACTCACGCATGTGCAGTTTGTACGTGCTACTTGGCCGGCGGCTGAAGTCTTTGCGGTGTGTTCCAGTGTGATTGTTGGCCAAGACGCAGGAGACGTGAGGCGACACAACAATCAGGTCCGTCGGGACGTGTTCTTTGGTGTCAGTTTGGTGTGTAGGCCCCTTTAGGGGACAAATCTTTCATGAATTAGTCTAGGTTAACGTTCATGTCTATTATACTGTACTATCGTCCCTCAAAGCTGTTAGCACATCAACCAGCTAACTGACCTTCCAGTGTTGTGGTTGATACAACTGATATTAACAGTAGATCTTGCATGAAAAAAAGAGTGGCAAGCTGAGTATAACATATTTTTCTTTCTCTGAGTAACGGCCCGTCCACACGGAAGCGTGCGTTGCTTCAACGGAGACGCTTCCCATTCTCTTTGAATGGGGTGACGTCATGCTTTGCCGAACTGCATTATGGTTCCGTCGCGTCGCTTTGCCTCTGTTGCTCGCTTCGAAAGTTGAGAAAAGTTCAATTTTTCAAGCGTCGTCAAATCATATGCCAGTACAAGCTCTAGCCAATCAAACCGCGTGCTTGTGTGTCCAGGGCGGGAGATTAATGTGATTGGTTGTTTTTCGCACGCCAGACACGCCCACCGGCAAGCTTCAAGGCACGCTGCCGTGTGGACCATGGATGTATAATAAGAACTGGATACAGCGTGGGAGGCGGGGTCTCGTTCTTTCCTATGAGATCTGCTCATTGGCACATGAAGTCAAAATGGCCCAACTTTTGAGAGAGCGAAACGTCACAGATTACCCGTCATGCCTGGCTGCCAGAGCAGAAGAACCCGTATGTGCGCTCACAGAGCATGCGCTCCTTAAGCCCCGCCCCCTGAGCTCCCACTCTCTGCCTCACTAGAATGAATGGAGAGAGAAAATAAATCTAGATTTGGCTTTTAGTGCATTTTACAACTTTAAGGACCAAATGATTCTAATAAGGGCTATAAAATAGTTAATTTATAGTTTATTTAGTTACAAAAAAATTATCCACCGGTTTACAGACGTCTCTTTCCCCATGTTAGTCAATGGGAAAAAGTAGTTTTGGGCCGGGTGACGTCACGGACTGATACGGCAGTTGCAGTACCGCCGTTTGGACACAACGAATGTTGGGCACAGTCAGGCGCACTTCCTGGGGGCTTGGTGTGGATTTACTGTAACAAAGTCTAATTATCAATTTGAAATTATTGAATGCGGATGAGGTTTTTAGTTATTTTTATTTAAAAAATTTAGGCAATTCACTGTTTATGAACTTATCGAAGTTTCAAATGCTTGTATGGAAAATTGCATGGCTTCGCAGTACCTTTGAAATGTTCAAGTCTCATTTAAAGTCTTACAGCAATTGTTGTTATGTAACAGCATCAGCTGATCAGCTGAGGTTTCAGTGAGATAAGTGAGGATTTGATGCATCAGCTTACAGAAGGGCACAGGGGGAATCGTTGAAAGTCTTTAATTAAAAGCTAGAAGCACCCATGAATGACGTTTTAATGGAGAGAAATGTGTTTCGGCACAGCCATCAGTCTTCCTGTGTTAGGATATTCATCTCTGTTGCTTTCTTCCTCTCTTGTAGTTTGATAGATTATGTTATTGTACCTTAGAGAATTTAGCAAAAGCTGTCAAATGAGACAAAGCCTTTACACTTCTCTAAGGGAATTAGAAAGATAATATTTCATAAGGCAGTGCAGAAGCAGGAGTTAATGACAGTTTGTGTGCGAAAATAATAAGGATGATGAACATATACTAGTGTTAGTGTGGGTGCTTCAGTGAATGTGTGAGCTTTATTTTAAGGGCACTCCCTGAGGTGAAGAATTGTCCGTTGTTTTGTCAGCAACATGAGACGGGGGTTGAACTGAAGGCTCTGGCCTGACGCTCGTAATGCGACACTGAGTCATGAAAGGAAAGGAGGAAGTGAGGTGGGGTGGGGACAGCGGACAGGAGGGAGGCAGATGTTTTGTTTCTTTCTTTGTATTTTGTGATGTTACAGCCTAAACTTTATATATTAAAAGATGGATAATTCGTTTTTAATGTTTTAGTTTTAATGCCTACTCTAGGAAATGACCAGCTATTTAAAATGACCTTATAAATACTTAGAGTAAGTTCTTGGCACACACACACACACACACACACACACACACACACACACACACACACTATAAGCAGGGTACCTCTGAGTCCTGACTGGCAGCAGAATCATCATTCTTCACGTCGCCTTTCTCCTTCTCCATCTCTCACTCAGGGGAGGGGGCAAACAGGGACATGCTCTTTGCTCCTCTTCCTCGCTTCCTTTCATCTCCTCTAACACATTGCTTGCTCAAATGTTCTCCTCTATCTCCCCTTTGCCTTTTCCCCTTCATGTTGACGCAGGCCACAGGCGATGCAGAAGCTTTGTAATACATTTCTCCTTCTCTTTCTTCTTTTTCAGGTCAGATTGAAGTTTCAGCCCCTACTTCAGGAGAGCTCAGATATAGTAAGCATTCTCATTACATTGTAATATTGCCCTATGCTTTAAAAGGAATTGCATGTATGTGGTTATGTGTATTTAATTATTTTCTGTATTTAGAGTGGTTAAAGGAGTACTTGATTAATAAATATATTCTCCTTAAACCTGCATGGCCGCCTGTTTTGACATTGCTCATTTAACGGTCTATGAAGCAGGAAGATTAATGAAGATCATTCTTAATGAACGTTAATGAGCCGGGTGTTGTGGTTTCAATGTTGATACTTTCTTTCCATGTCCTCTCCAAAGGACAGGGAATACATGCTGCAGGTGGCTTTGTGGGTTTTACGTTTTCCATCTGCAGATATGGCATTAGATATTGCACCTGATGTAGCAAACACATGGGTACCCAAGGATATATATTAAAGCTGATTCTACTGTACAGTTCAAATCATCTTATGACTTTATGACACAAAGCACACAATATTAAGCTATTACATCATGCTGTACACTGTGCTTGAGTCCTTTACAGTTCCCACAACAGTTAGCAGAGTACAACACAAACACACATACACATACTCAAAAGCTGTTAAATAGAAAAAGAAAACAAACAGTCCAGATATCAAGACTAAGACTGTGTCTCCTCACTGTAAACAGACTCCTTGTACTCCAGCTGCTGTACAGTAGCAGGCACTGTCTGAACAGTTAATGACCCTTTATATCGTATATTTATTGATTAATGTTTATGGTTTGTAAGATCCAACTGTTCCTTCCACTGAAGCTGTTCCTGTGGTTAGTAAATACTATAATTTACAAGGCAAAAACCGGAAGAATTGCATGATCTATTACAAATTGTTATAACATTTAAAGTTAGTTTAAATAAACAGAATTAGCACAGTGCAGAGTGATGGGGAAAAGGACAGGCCCTAAAGAAGATCACTAAATGTAACAACATTTGCAGCACTCTGTATTTGGTGTGAGATGTTATTTAGTTTAGATCTATAGAATGTGTGAGCAGATAAATTCCCAGTTAATATTGAAGGTGACAGACTCACACCTGCACACACTCAGCTAAAAATAGGCATACTTCACTCTGCGCTGCTCAAGTAGTGGCATGCCCTCAGATCTCTCTCCTCCTGCTTCCAGCTGCTTGGTATGGTTCATATCAACTTGTGATCATTGATTTGATCCTGTCCAAAAGCAAAGACTTTCACTATGAGTAGAAACCGAGACATTGTGTGAGAGATCTCTCATCTAAAGCTCAGTGTTTTCTGCACAGCCGAATGAAAAAAATATGTACTCGGCTGTTGCCGTAGCAACAGCGTCAAACACAACAGTCGGGATTTTCCTCAAGACAGCAGCGTTTTTGTGTTGTGTATATCAATGCCTTGCTTATCTCCTACTGGGAGTTTCACGTGACGATGACTTCTGTGGAAAAAGTGTACTTACTGAAAAAAACACATCCACTCAACTTTTGATTCATAACACTCCGACCTAAAAGTCATGAAGTAAGCTTAAAAACTAATAAATGATCAAATCCTTGGTAAAGCTTCATCTCTTTGCAGACTTAACTGAGTAAATGAGACTGCAATTTGGAGCTGAGGTTTGCCAAAGAAAATCTCAACAGTGGTATCGTTTGTTCCAGCAAATCCAAAAAGATAATGATTTTGTGTGTTTTTTAATATTTAAAAAACAAAAGCTGATAATTGTAATCATACCCGTTTTAGTATGCCACTTGCATCGGAAGCTGCTTATAAACTCTCCACAGCTCTGAATGTTTCTTGGCATTAATTAAGATAAGAGTAGGTTGGTTTAGACGCACTGCGATCATAGGGAAAGCACAGAGGGCAGACCTACCATTCCTCTGCACAGAATACAACAGAACAAAAGGTTAATAGCACATGATTACAGTGTGGCCTGATGGCAGTAACTAGGGTAAAGATCAGGCGTGATAAACCCTAACCCTAACCCACTTAAAAATTGAGGAACAGCTTCATAGTCATTTCATTCCTGTAGTGTTCACAAAAAGTACATTTATGGGAACTACTATAGCCAGAGGATTCTATTTTTAATTTCCGCTCTTGGGGAGATAAGGAGTTCTCATTGGGAAATATAATGTGGATATCTTAGTTATCCCTGACGTTAAAAAAAAGCTATGCGGTCCGTTTTAAGTTGGAATAGGCCTTTTACGTCATTGGCAAAAGCTGTGATAGATGACTAAAACATACGGTAGTCATGTCGGAACTGTAGTGCAACAGGTGATGCTTTGTATGAAAGCGTTCTGCAGAGCTAGAATAATAGAATGTCTCCTTCACTTCACTCTTGAGCGTCTAGTTGTTTTTCTTCAGAGAAGCGTAAGGTCTCACCGCTAAGAGATGGAGTGCTCTTCAACATTCAACCAAAGCTGCCCCTGGTGTAGTATTACAGTCAAGTCTGCGTTTAGGAAGTGACTGTGTAGGTGTTTGTATGTAGTCACACTTCAAGATTGGAAATTCTTCTTTTCAATTCAGGCAGAGCTGCAGTAAAACAAGAGCTTGATTAAATACATTAGTGGCATTCAGGAGCTATTATTCTTTAAAGCAATCCCTTTTCTGCAGAACACTAGCTTTAACTTTGCTCAAATTTAAAACCATAATAAGCTAGACCTTTCTCAGGATGTGACATTTGAAATTCACTTTCATCGCAGCAAAATGATATTCCACTGTAGCTTGTCTAAACATGTTACACACACACACACACACACACACACACACACACACACACTCGCTTTACACATGTAAAGGGACAAATACATTACTCTGTGTAAAATATATACATTTTGATAGCTTCTTGGAGGAAATGGAGCTGCTTTATATTCATAACACTACTCACACAAAAGGTCAAGGTTGAATCTCATTCCTTTTTGGATTTTCAAAGATGATACCCATTGGTGCTTTTCCAAATGTGAGGTGGAAAAATATTCAAATGGTCTTGACTGTGCTATAGAAAGTAAAGGGTTATAACCCACATTATAACACATTATGGTACTTTAAAAATATCTATGGGGTTAAATGAATCATTTTATGTCACATATTCTATAAAGTTTAGGGAATAAACTAACAATCTTCACACTTGGATTACACTGTGGATGTTACAAAAAAGCTACAAATGACCTGGTATAACAACATATTAAAACTCTCGTGAATAAATGACTAGATTAGACTATGATTTTCTTTTAAATAGGGACGGGTTTTGTGTCTTGTGAAATAATGTTGTTGTATCTCAGAGGTCTGCTTTGAAATGCTCAATTATGTCTAATGGGTTATTGCATATTAATGAAGACCTTAACACAACTGATGGTGATGTATTGTTTGTTTGTTATTTCACAGTCCTGCTGCACAACGCTATCCCTTTCGTTGGATTTGGATTCCTGGATAACTGCATTATGATCGTAGCTGTAAGTGTGTCCGCTTCATGGAGTTCACTGCGAATACACATTCACTCGGTGTGAAGAGATGGATTTCCACTGAATCTGCGCTTGAATAATATATTGCATGTATTTATGATACTGTAGGAAGCTTTGAAGGAAGCATCAAGGCAAAAAGGAGAAATCTCTTTATTTTATGCTAATGTGTTTATAGCTCAGTATATTTCCTGTCATGTTTGGCACTCTGTCTCTCATCTTCAATCCTTCCATTTCTCATTTCATCTGAAACCATTTTAAGCAGTGTGTCTGCCACAAGCATACCCACGTCTTATTAAGTCTTTGTGAAGTTGTTTAAATAATGAAATCTAACCACAGTGGAACAATGTGATCCTGCTCAGGAAATGAAAATATAATATTCTTCAGCTTCCTTTTAATGTGTGCTTTCACAGCCGGGTTATTTTCTAACCCAGAGATGTTAAATTATTTTAGAGGCATCTACAGGGAAATGAACAGACCATCTGAGATATATATACAAAGGAAAAAACAATAAAGAATATCCTACATCTACAGTAATGACATGGAATAACTTTGCCAAAAAGATAAAGAAAGATTGTGTTGGCACCAAATATTTATCTGCCTGTACTTTTTTAAATCCGTACTTTTTTGATAAACTACTGTACCCTAGATCTTTGGTTGATTTAAGTTTTGTATTATCCACTAAAACCAGGAAACTGAGGGACTGACATTTTAGAAAATATCTTTAAAAGCTTTGTAGTCCAGAATAACCTTTTGTTATGACGCACAGGAGACACTAAGTCAGCCTCCGTTAAATAATTCATTGATGTATTCCTCTCTGAATGTCATGGAGAAAGAACATACAAATACAATATACTCCATGCTATAACTCATACATAAGCTTACACTGATTGTTTGTATTATAACATGGCAAAAATAAATTGAACATTTTAAAATCATACAAATAATAATGATAATAATAACTTTATTTATATAGCACCTTTGATACAGGGGTTTGCAGTTCAAAGTACTTTACATCATTAAGAAATACGACATAAAATCAGTGAAACAATGAAATGAACCATAACGAGTGTGTTTGTGTTTGTTTGTTCCTCCCAGGGAACACATATTGAGTTATCCATCGGAGTGATCCTCGGCATTTCAACTATGGCAGGTAAGGGAATCTCAAGACCTTTATCTAGCTATGTTTTGTTAAGGAAAATGTATATTTGTAATACCAGAGAGAGTCCATTAGGCTGTTAAAAGAGGAAGAGAGATGTTTTTGTTGGATGGTTTTCATTTTTGTGTGACAAAGAAGCAGTGTTTTATCCACAATGTTGTACTTGTATTGATTCTGTAGATTTTAGAAATGTACTGATTTTTATTTAGTTTATTGAGTCAGGAAATGGTTTCATAATATAAATCTGACAAAAGAGAAATGTCCATGATGTTGCTGCAAATCAAACTGTTTCTCTTTCCAAACACAGCTATTAATAAGGAAGTTACATTTCTGTTATGACAGATTTTAACATGATTTCCTTATTTCCAAACTTATGATCTAATTGCTCACTTAATAGCCACTTCTGGGAGGAGAAGAATCTTGAAATAAATGTATATTTGAGTTCAGACATAAGTTTTCTCGGCACAGACTTCAAGTTGTAATCTTCATCTACTTCCAAATTGGAGTGCTGGTATGCCAAATCATATTGGACTCCCAACTCTTTAAAACAGAAATAGAAGAAGGCATTTTCAATTTCAGTGTCGGCAGAATACCCATTCTCATAATGAGGCTTTAATGATAAAGTCACAATTGAAACCTTGCTGTGACACTTATTCAAAAAGCTAACATTAGATAAATAAATAGGAATGAGAGAGAGGCTGCCCTAGATAATGATTATTTCATGACTATAACAAGACAAGCAGAATGTGTTAATATCCACTTTACGTTTGCATTGGAATGTTATCCCATGTTCCCATTCAGCGTATGTGACAGACACTCTGTGGTTACGTCACATTACACTGCATGTGAATGTGGACGGGAGCTTTAAATAGAGGAGCACCGTGAAGCTAGTGAAGCAAAGTAAAAACAACCATTATAAATAATTGCTTAGTATTTCTACCCTTCTGCATATCCTATATCTGCAATCAACACCATCTCTCAGTAAGCATCAGAATGAATGATGGGACTAGTTTTGGGGACACACTCTTTTATTCGTCCCTGCTCCAGCTCAGTCTCTTTACTGTGTTGTTGTCTATGGTGTATAGAAGTTTAAAGGGAGCTGACATTCCCACTTCTGAGTCTTGTCTTTCCTCTTCTGACTCTTTGTTGCTGCTTGTCTGCTTTTGTTTTACCTCAAGCTTTCAAAGACCAAATGTCCTCAGCATACTGAAAGTCTGAAACATGTAGAAGAGCATAAGCTGCTGCTGTAACAGAGGAGGTAAAGGCCTGAAGCATTTTTTATTCTACTCACAAGGAACTGCAAAGATGTGCAAATAAAAACAGAGTAAAGCAAAAAGCAATGGAACATTAAGGGATATAACGTAAAGAGGAGGTCTTTTTATGCTCTCTTTGCGATGCTTATTGTGTGAAACAACTATAACAGGTAATGGATGATTGGATTACGATTAAGCCAAAAGAGCAGCTTCAGGCTTGGTAAGATTTATAGATGAAAGGGTTACAAACTCAGCCAAAGCATGTAATACTAGTTTTTTATGAGGCCTTAGTTTTTTGACAGGCAGACCTTGTTATCTCAGTGGTATAAAGAGATTTGTCAGTGAGCCCCAGCTGCAGAAATACCCCCAAATATTAGTGATTTTTTAACAATGTAGGAAACCACCACTCTGCCACGGATGGAAGAAAAATAGGAAGAGCCTTTATTCTTTCCGCAAGGGCATCCTCATCTCAATCAATCAATCAATCAATGTTTATTTATATAGCCCAATATCACAAATGTTACATTTGTCTCAGTGGACTTCACAGTTTGTACAGAATATCAGTATGACAACACGACACCCTCTCTGTCCTTAGACCCTCACATCGTACAAGGAACACTTCCAGAGAAAACCCACAGTTTAAAGGGAAAAATGGGAGAAACCTCAGGGAGAGCAACAGAGGAGGGATCCCTCTCCCAGGACGGACAGACGTGCAATAGATGCTGTGTGTAAATTGAAGAGATAATACATTTGCAACATAGGTAGTCCAAATGTTTGGAAATGCATGTGTCTATAATAAGAAGATGAATCCACGAGGATGTCAACAATCCTGTGGGACTTATGATCCAGGACCACAGCCACGACTCAAGATCCAGGACTCGCAATCCATGACACAGGACCGCAGGATCATCCA